GTGTTTACCTTCACAGTATAGAAGGTTCTCATGAAAGTGGATAAGTTAAATTTTGAAAGCCAATTCAATTTCTTTCTTTATTATGCACCCCATACCCATCCCGTGGGCGGTGGTGTAAAGGATTACAGAGGCACATAATCGGTTCAGGGACTGAACCCTCTAATTCGTTTAGCTAAGCAAATAACAATCTTTTGACGCTAGTTACAAAATTATTAAAGTTATATATACATGTACACATACTCATGCATACATGTATATATATATACGTATACATATATACATACACATATATATTTAATCACCCACACAAATACACATCAATAATCTTTTGTGTCACAAGTGATTCAACAAGAGGCTCACAACAGTCACTATACAAGGCACTTTACATCTATGATGAGTCGCACAGTTACTAGTCTTACTCCACACCCACCCAACTGGGTGGCAGCTTTACAGTCATGTGCTCCACACCCACCCAACTGGGCGGCAGCTTTACAGTCATGTGCTCCACACCCACCCAACTGGGCGGCAGCTTTACAGACATATGCTCCACACCTACCCAAATGGACGGCAGCTTTACAGCCATGTGCTCCACACCTACCCAACTGGACGGCAGCTTTACAGTCATGTGCTCCACACCCACCCAACTGGGCGGCAGCTTTACAGTCATGTGCTCCACACCCACCCAACTGGGCGGCAGCTTTACAGTCATGTGCTCCACACCCACCCAACTGGGCGGCAGCTTTACAGACATATGCTCCACACCTACCCAAATGGACGGCAGCTTTACAGCCATGTGCTCCACACCTACCCAACTGGACGGCAGCTTTACAGTCATGTGCTCCACACCCACCCAACTGGGCGGCAGCTTTACAGTCATGTGCTCCACACCCACCCAACTGGGCGGCAGCATTACAGTCATGTGCTCCACACCCACCCAACTGGGCGGCAGCTTTACAGTCAAGTGCATGCATTACTTACAGTAAGCAAATTTTGGATTCTTCGCTAAGATTTCGGGCAGCACATCATTATGAATGAAGTGAGTTGGTTAAGATTTTGCAGGTGTACCAGTGTTATTAAATTAAATTAAGAAGGAATAAGACAGAAAATCATTGTTGGTGCTACAACGGATGGCAAATTTAAGAGATGTACATTATTGAGGCTGTAAATTAGTGGGAAGTGTGTATGTAGCCCCCTTACTGAAACTACTTAGGCTTGGCCAGAGAGTATTAACTTAGTAGCATACATGGTGAATAAAGAGGATTAGCATGTATTAACGATTGAATAGAGATAGAAACTAGTGAGATTTAATTGCTATTTTACAGGAAATAAATGTTGAGGAAAGGTCTATAACAAACAACACTACCTGCTTTATAATGTTTTTTTTTTTTTTTTTGGTTATAAAGAAATCATCTGCATTCGTAGGGTATATTTGTCTACTCTATACAACCATAGTAAGGTATATAAATCCTAAATTGCTATGTGGGTTTTGCCTTATTGATTTAATTTGTCCTTTAGGATATAACTGCAGGACAGGAAAAAGCAAGTGATGAGACAGCATTTTCACCAGATGAAAAAGGTGTCGCTTGTGAAACCATCCCATCACCTGAGGCCCGAAAACAGTTTGGTAAGACATCAACAAAACACACTTTTCCCTGAATGGTCTGCATATATGCTCTAATCCTTGGCCTTTAGGGTTTCTATCTTCCACTCTTCACCCACAAATAAATATATATATATGTTGTACCTAGTAGCCAGAACGCACTTCTCAGCCTACTATGCAAGGGCCGATTTGCCTAATAAACCAAGTTTTCCTGAATTAATATATTTTCTCTATTTTTTTCTTATGAAATGATAAAGCTACCCATTTCATTATGTTTGAGGTCAATTTTTTTTATTGGAGTTAAAATTAACGTAGATATATGACCGAACCTAACCAATTCTACTTAACCTAACCTAACCTATCTTTATAGGTTAGGTTAGGTTAGGTAGCCGAAAAAGTTAGGTTAGGTTAGGTTAGGTAGTCGAAAAACAATTAATTCATGAAAACTTGGCTTATTAGGCAAATCAGGCCTTGCATAGTAGGCTGAGAAGTGCGTTCTGGCTACTAGGTACGACATATATAAATATATATATATATATATATATATATATATATATATATATATATATATATATATATATATATATATATATATATATATATATATATATATATATATGTGTGTGTGTATATCACGAAAATAAACACGTGATTAAGAATGTGACAATGTCAGACCACGGAGGAAAAATGAAACAGGAAATTTCCTTAAGTACTTTCGTATATTAAATACATCTTCAGAAGGTGAAGATGTATTTAATATCTTCACCTTCTGAAGATGTATTTAATATACGAAAGTACTTAAGGAAATTTCCTGTTTCATTTTTCCTCCGTGGTCTGACATTGTCATATATATATATATATATATATATATATATATATATATATATATATATATATATATATATATATATATATATATATATATATATATATATATATATATATATATATATATATATCGTACCTAGTAGCCAGAACGCACTTCTCAGCCTACTATGCAAGGTCCAATTTGCCTAATAAGCCAAGTTTTCACGAATTAATATATTTTCTCTAATTTTTTTCTTATGAAATGATAGAGCTACCCATTTCATTGTGTATAAGGTCAATTTTTTTTTATTGGAGTTAAAATTAACGTAGATATATGACTTAACCAAACCAACCCTACCTAACCTAACCTAACCTATCTTTATAGGTAAGGATGGGTTAGGTAGCTGAAAAAGATAGGTTAGGTTAGGTTAGGTAGTCGAAAAACAATTAATTCATGAAAACTTGGCTTATTAGGCAAATCGGGCCTTGCATAGTAGGCTGAGAAGTGCGTTCTGGCTACTAGGTACGACATATATATATATATATATATATATATATATATATATATATATATATATATATATATATATATATACATTATATATATATATATATATATATATATATATATATATATATATATATATATATATATATATATACATATATATATGTCGTACCTAGTAGCCAGAGCGCACTTCTCAGCCTACTATGCAAGGCCTGATTTGCCTAATAAGCCAAGTTTTCATGAATCAATTGGTTTTCGGCAACCTAACCTACCTAACCTAACCTAACCTAACTTTTTCGGCTATCTAACCTAACCTAACCTATAAAGATAGGTTAGGTTAGGTTAGGTAGGGTTGGTTAGGTTCGGTCATATATCTACGTTAATTTTAACTCCAATAAAAAAAATGACCTCATCCATAATGAAATGGGTAGCTTTATCATTTCATAAGCAAAAAATTTGAGAAAATATATTAATTCAGGAAAACTTGGCTTATTAGGCAAATCGGGCCTTGCATAGTAGGCTGAGAAGTGCGTTCTGGCTACTAGGTACGACATATATATATATATATATATATATATATATATATATATATATATATATATATATATATATATATATATATATATATATATATATATATATATATATATATATATATATATATATATATATATATATATTATATATATATACATTATATATATATAATATAATATATATATATAAATGTGACATTGTCACATTCTTAATCACGTGTTTATTTTCGTTTTATATATATATATATATATATATATATATATATATATATATATATATATATATATATATATATATATATATATATATATATATATATATATATATATATATATATATATATATATATGTATGTTGTACCTAGTAGCCAGAATGCAGTACTCGACCTACTATGCAAGGCCCGATTTGCCTAATAAGTCAAAGTTTTCCTGAATTTATATATTTTTCAACAATTTTTCATATGAAATGACAAAGCTATACATTTCATGATGTATGAGATAAATTTTTTTGTTTACATTCGATATAACAAACACAGTCTCTGAGAAGGGTGTCGACGAAATACATGCAGACTTTGTTATGCAATTCCCTTGGGAATCTCCGCCAGCAGACTTTAAGATTATGGTTATTGAAGGAAAAAAGAACCAGACAAATCCTCATCTGCTACATAATATTACACAGATGCATATAGAAGCAAACTAGGCATCCGACAGCTTCACTTACTTCACAGATGGATCAGTAGACCAGCAGGGACAAGAAACCGGAGCTGTAGTTAAAGCAGGAAACTCTGTAAATAGTTGGAGGCTCTCAAATGGGTGTTCGACTTTACAAATAGAGATGCTAGCCATTCAAAAGGCTTTGGAACATGCTCTTGCTGAACACCAACAACATGTTATCATACATACAGATTCGAGAACCGCCACTGAAACCTTGCAACAAGAACACATATGTGATAACATACATCTGATCACAAATGTCATATCATTAATGTAAACACTCAAACGACATGGCCGAAGGGTACTTATCAACTGGGTGCCAAGTCATGTGGGAATAATAGGAAATGACATTGTAGACGAAGCTGCAAAATTTGCAACTAAGAGATGAAATGTAGACATGTACATACCACAGAGCCTATCACAGATTAAGAAAGTAATTAGAAACAGAGCAATGCAAAAGATGTACAGTGACCACAACACAGCAGTTGCAACATCAGGATCTGCGGGTTGGTACAAGAATTCAACCAACTACGAGACACTTAGTTTGATGAAAGGGAGCAGTAGAGCAACAGAAGTACACTTACATCGCATCAGGCTTGGATACCCATGTGCATGAGAAATAGGCTTGCAGGTTCCGGAAGATGAGGAAATGTCAGCACTGTAAGAAATGCCCGACAGACTGCTGGAACATTATCTAACACAGTGCACAGTCACAAACCCATTAAGATTTCAACTTAGATTCAACAGAGCAGTTGTTAAACACATATGGAAGAAGTTGTTAAACACATATGGCAAAATCTTACTGAAGCGACCATACGAGTCATAAATACTCATACTCCGCCCAATTAAAACAGAAACAAGCAACACTTAGTGGGCCAGCCAGAGGCTTACCTTGAGGTTACCTTGAGGTGCTTCCGGGGCTTAGCGTCCCCGCGGCCCGGTCGTCGACCAGGCCTCCTGGTTGCTGGACTGATCAACCAGGCTGTTGGACGCGGCTGCTCGCAGCCTGACGTATGAGTCACAGCCTGGTTGATCAGGTATCCTTTGGAGAGGCTTAGGGCCCGCGCAGGAATATCCCTGCAAAAATAAAAAACAAGTTGATAATTTGTGTATCATATTGCCTTCTACAGTTTCATTCAAATTTGGGCTTGATACGACAACTACAACCAGCCCTCCGATCGTCAGTATAATTTCTAATACAATTCCAGTCACCTCGGTTGAACCAGCTTGCACCGCAGGTGCTTCTTTAGCTGCCGTGACTACGCCCGAAACTTCCAAGGATGGAAGCAAGCTTATTTGCCATGGATTTACCTTCACCAGCAGCCAATCATTCAAACCAGAGGCTCAACAGAAGCTTCCAGGAGATGAAAAAAAGAAGGAGTCCATATTAAAAAAATTCAGATCATCCAGAACCCATATTTGCTGGGTTTTCATTTGGTTCAAGTGCAGTTAATTCTGCAACCACAAGTTGTGCCTTCAGTACTTTTAAAGCTGAAGTTAGAAAGGAAGGAGATAAGACTGGTGAATGATGAGTGAAAGTTAACGAATGAATTACAAATTATCTTGATTTGTAACTAAGGAGGGTTAAGTGTGTAGTTTGAAAGATTAAGATTCCTTTCAAGTTAAGTAAACTTGTTATGAATTAATGTTAAAAAATAGAGTAGATGTTGGAGAAAGTGTAGGTGTTTGGAGGTGGCAGTGATAGAATTCATATGATAATACCATCTATAGGTATTATCACCAGTCTGATAGACTGGTGATACCTCCCTCAATTGGCTAAATTCAGGGCATATTTAGTTGTATGTATTTATTTGCTTTATTTGTTTTTATATTCGTAATTTGTTTATTTGTTTGTTTTGTGCCGAGATACAAAACTACAGAAAAATTGTATTCATACAATTGCAAGGTCAATACAAGTATGTTACTTTCTTTAACTACTTTCTGTAATATTTTCTTATTATGTGCACTTATAATTCATCAGGGTAGATCTTTGGATGTAATGTGCACTGATGTTCAAAATTGCATATTTCAGAAGAAAATGGAGGGCCATCTAGAACAATGCTGTCCGCAGGTCTTGCAAGCAACACTATTGTGCGTTCCAACCTTTTCGCTACTTCAAAAGCGGTGAGTTACACATGTTCGTTTAAATGGGGCTGATACTAAGTGAAAAGTTGTCTTGTTTCCATTATTTTCACTTGAATTTAGATAAATAATCCCATTCATATTATTCTTGTGGGTGTGGCATTACGGTAAATGGAATATTTAATGTATTGGTAAAATACTGTTAACGTATTACAATACATTGCCAGTATTGAAATATAAAATATTGAGGGACGGCAAAATGGGGGAGTGGGGGGGGGGTGGCGGGAAATATGTCTGAGATGAGCAAGAAGCTCATGAGCATGAAGTCATTGAAGAAACCTAGATTTGTAGTTTAAGAGCAAGCATGATTACAGTAGAATGTTTACATCCAGACTATTTTGTACGGGGAGAAAAACTCGCGCCTAGTGTGTGGGTACAATTTATATCCAATGTTTCGTCATTATCATGAAATGACGAGCCCAGAGTTCCGTAACGATTGGTGAATAAGACTAAGCTAAGGCTAAGTTAAACGCCCTGCAAACCTGCCGAACAGAACTACTGCAAGCGTAGAAGGCAACAAATGCCGAGTAATGTAATTGTCATAGAAGGCAGTTTTTTTTATTATTATTATTTTCTACCACAGTACGTGGCCACACATTTACAATGCTAACCAGCATATATACATTTTCTTCTGTCCTCCATGGACAGGGTGAGAGATTTGTCAAACATACAGTTCAGGGATTTATTGAACAATCAACCACAGAAGGTGATTGTAGTGTTTTAAAATGCTAGGCTAAGCTACATACGTAAATACATAAATACACAGATTTATGTATAAGGTGATAGACATATGCCAGAACACGAATCAATGGGTATAAATTGGGTATGAAAATATAAGAATGGAAGTAACTGCAGAAGGCCTATTGACCTATACTTCCTCTTGCTTCTTCTATGTTGGTTCCGGGTCGTGAAGTGGGTAGAATATAGTTGTGCATTAATTGGCTATTGATTGCTGGTGTTGACTTCTTGATGTGTAGTGCTTCGCTGATGTCGTGTCTCCGGCTATCGCTGTATCTATCGATGATTTCTGTGTTGTTTGTTAAGATTTCTCTGGTGATGGTCTAGTTTTGAGAAGAGATTATATGTTCCTTGATGGATCCCTGTTGTTTGTGCATAGTTAATCGCCTAGAAAGAGACGTTGTTGTCTTGCCTATATACTGAGTTCTTTGGGGCTTACAGTACCCAAGTGGGCATGTGAAGGCATAGACGACGTTGGTTTCCTTCAGGGCGTTTTGTTTGGTGTCTGGGAAGTTTTTCATGAGTAGGTTGGCTGTTTTTTTGCTTTTGTAGTAAATTGTTAATTGTATTTTCTGATTTTTGTCCTAGTCAACAATGGCTTCTTTAACGGGTTTGTTGAAGACACCATAAAAAAGAAAGGTGAAACGCCATGGAACCTCTGAAGAGTCAACTAACACAACACTTGTTAGACTGTTTTACAGGAACTTCTTTTCGACGGCTCATAAAACAGAGGAAAGGGTCTTGAAAGACATTATTGATAGGAACGTTATCCCTACAGACAAAAATCAGAAAATAGTAATAGAAAATAGTAAATGACACAATTATCATTACGAGGACTGTTTCTAACTAATAGTTTTCCAACAGTATTTTTGTAATTAATTCCATTGATGGTGTTATCTCAGAATTCCTTGAGTTTATCACATTCCATTATATAATGACGTTATATTATATTATTATAATTTTATATATTATTTATAATTTCAGAAAATAAAAATGACAACTATGAGTCGTAATGATTTCTTGTTCAAAGCAATCGAGGAGAGTCTTATGCCCCGGTAAGTAGCATGTGACGTTATTTATTTTATTTGTCTATTCTTTGTCATTTTCTTTGCATTACTTTTGTTTATTTTTATTTTATTGCATGTAAGTACAAGTTTCTTAAGTGACAAACTAAACGCTATGTGTGTTAGTGTGTTTGCAAGAATGTAAAAATACCAATATTGTGTAATCTCGCAAAACTATTGTACCTTCTTGTAAATAAATAAATAAATAAATAATAAATAAATAAATAATAAATAAATGAATATTTTATTTTAATAAAGTATTATATAAGTATTTATTTATAAATAAATATATAAATAAATACATTTTCGACGCAGCGGGCATTCCCCCTCTGGACCGCGATACTGAGGCACTGGAAGAGAAAACTTGCCGCTCTACGGATCTCTTGTAGTGTCAATGAGCCTGGAACCGGCCTGGAACCTTAACAAACCTTTTTGCACTCTCTCCCCATGGGCCTAGGGTCTCAGATCGTATTGGAACGAAGTTGTACCGGTGATCTAATTCCCCTGAACCTGGTTGACTTGTATCCCTCTCTGTATGTGTATATATATATATATATATATATATATATATATATATATATATATATATATATATATATATATATACATACATACATACATACATACATACATACATACATACATACATACATACATACATACATACATACATACATACATACATACATACATACACGAAGAACGAAATTCAATGAGAACCAGCTAGACTCGACCTGATATTCACACTGAATGGGTCAGAAATAGGAAGTAAAATTTGAAGCCCCCATGGGAATGAGTGGCCACCGCATAATGATATTTGAGTATCTGTTGGTGGTTGGGATAACGTATCCAAGGAAGGGATCGGAAAAGAAAAGGTTAAATTACCGAAGAGGAAAATATGATGAGATGAGGAACTTCCTAATGGGACGTTATGCCTCTTATGTGTAGTGGAAGCATGTTGAACAGTGCAGGAGATGAGTCACAATAACGTGGCTACTAAATTCCATTCTCAATCGACTTGAGAATGGTCCGGGACGGACCGAAACGTCGTCGTCCCTTCACCTTCTAGTGTGTGGTCTGGTCAACATGTTGAACAGTCTCGGACCTCTAATGTTGATAGAGTTCTCTCTCAGAATACCTATTGCACCTCTGCTTTTCAATGGGGGTATTCTGCACATCCTGCCATGCCTTCTGGTCTCATATGGTGTTATTTCTGTGTTCAGGTTTGGGACCAGCCCCTCTAATATTTTCAACGTGTAAATTATTATGTATCTCTCCCGTCTGGGCTCAAGAGAATACAGATTTAGGCATTTTAGGCAATAATTTAGATGTTTTACTGAGTGGATTCTAGCAGTAAAGGAACTCTGCAGGTCAGCAATTTATCAAGCTTTGAAAGAGCTGTCATTGCGCAACAGTATTTCACTCTAGAGAGCACTAGCGTCTTGAAAAATGTAATCATTGGTATAGCATCTCTGGTTTGAAATGTTCGTGTACTCCAACTTAATTATTTTTGCAGTTGTCACAACTACTTTATTATATTCTTTAAAGGTAAGGTCTTCCGACATGAGTACACCCAAATCCTTTACATTGCTTTTTCGTTTTATGGTATGATTTAAGTGCGTTTTTTACGTGGTCTCCGTTTTTATTTTTTCATTTTTTTCCGTAACGCAGGAGCTAGAACTTATCTTCATTAAATACCATATTATTATCTGCAGCCCATTGAAAGACCTGATTTACATCTGATTGGAGGTTTGCTGTGCTCTCTATGTTGCCTACTCTCATTAAAATCCTAGTGTCATCTGCAAAGGAAAATACGGTACTATAGATTGTGTCCTTGTCTATGTCCGATGTGACAATGAGAAAATGTACTTGAGCATATACAGTACCCTGGGAGACTGAGCTCTTCACGGTTGGTGGTCCTTATTTTATTTTGTTGACATTGGGTTCTGTTAGTCAGGAAATTGTAGTTCTATCCGCCAATTTTTCCGGTAATTCCTTTTGAACCCATTTTGTGTGCAATAACATCATGATCACATTTGTCGAAGGATTTTGCGAAATCCGTGTAAATTACATCACCATTTTGCTTGTCTTCCATGGCATCTAAGGCTATGTCATAGTGGTCCTGCAACTGTGATAGGCAAGAGCACTCTGTTCTGAAACCATATTGTCAAGGGTTATGGAGATGCTGTGATTCCATGTATTTTATGATCTTCTCAGCACTCTTTCAAAGATTTTTATGAAGTATGATGTTAGCGCTATCGGTCTGTAAATTTTGTCTCTGCCTTATTTCCTCCTTTATGAAGTGGTGTTATCTCTGCTGTTTTCAGTATGTCAGGGATAACACCAGTATCTAGGTTTTATCTCCAAAGAATGTGAAGGGCCTGCGATAATGACTTTATAGTTCTTAATGAATATGGAGTTCCAAGATTCAGGGCCTGGTGCAGAGTGCATGGGCATATTGTCTATGGCTTCTTCTAGTGTGTGGTCTGGTCAACATACTTCAGCCACGTTATTGTGACTCATCGCCTGCACATGGCTTCTTTAAAATTCAGTGGAGATAGGGTGACATCTAATATATGATTTGATGTTTGTATCATATCCATGACAAATTCGTGAGTGTGACTCTCAAGTTGTTCCGTGATTCGATTTTGTATTATCATTGTTAACATCTTTATTGACAAAATTAATTACAATTTTGCCTAATCTGAGGATTTCAATTAAGCCTTATTAACGTGAAGATAATGCTGGTATTCACTGTCAGGCAGTCATACACAAGTCAATAAGTCTAAACTGTAGGCTGAAGCACATGTATATCATGGTTACAATCAATGTTTTAATGTATGGATATGTGAAAACAACTTTCTATTGTACACTGCCACACAAGGGCAGGGATGGGTTCATAAGTGATGCAGCTTAGAAGTAATATAAATAAAATTGTTCTTCATTCTTTAAAATGGACAAGCAAATTTTGGATAAATTGTTAGAATGTCGTCCAGAACACCTGAGTTAATGAAATAGTTACACAGTTGGTGGTACAAGAGGCCAGAAGGTCTAAAGTCTTTTACGGTTTCACATTCAACAATATAGTGTTCTAGGGAATGCATTAAAGGTTTATCACAGAGTTTACAATCTTAGTACTCTGGTAGTGGCTCAGCCTCACTAACCTGCCAGATGTGTCTATAGCCAAGGCGAATTCACGGAATGACTACATCACATTGCTTGGTTCGGTTACTGTGCTGACCATACAAATACCTATTATTACAAAACTTGTCATAACTTTTAATACTGCAGCTTTCAGGTCTCTGGGCATTTCTTAGTTCTTCTAAATCTGAATTAATTTATTTAATTTGTATGTTTCTAATAATTGCATTAGATAGTTCAGAGCCATAATCAATGTTTTCTTTCCTGCAAGCCTCATTGGCCAATCGATCTACAAAGTCATGTTTTCCAACTCCAACATGGGATGGGATTCACACAAATTTTATACAATAGTTATTATCATTGGCAAAAATTACATTCCATTTAATATTACAAGCTACTTCAGACATACATTGTGATGGGTTATTTAAGGACTGCAGAGCACTTTTAGAGTCACAGAATATCACTCCATCACCATTGAGCTTAAGGTACTACGTGGCTAGATAAATACCCAATAGCTCGGTCTGTGTCGTACTTGCCCAGTTGTTCAGTCTCTGTGTACTAGATGTGATCATTTCATTCCCTTTATATACTGCACATGCACAACTTGTTCTACCAGTGCCTAACTGCACAGAACCATCAGTAAAGGCGTAGGATTCAGTCGGTTTGAGATTTTGAAGATGACTGTCTATAGCTTCTAATGTTATACATCTCATAGTTTCAGTGTTATACATTTGTTTCACGCTGATGGTTTCTTCAGCGTGTTTAGTGGCTCGCTGAAAACAGAGTCGTAATGATTCCTCAGTATTTCGCTCATTTCTTTGTTGTCATCTGTGAAAGTTCCATCTCCCTTTCTCAGGGACCCGATACTACATGTAGTTTGTTATCTTGATTTTGCATAGGAGAAAAAATATTTTGGATTTCTCTCTATTTCACTGATGGCCTTTTGCTATCTTTGTCTCTTTTGGGTTTTGGATGATTCTTCTAGCGCTAGTTCAATTGTTTCTATTTCTCTACCTAGCCTTCTTCGTCATTCTTCAGATATTAGATATAATATAAATAGATGTAATATGATTCAGATATAATCATTCTTCAGATTCAGATAATATACTTACTATTCTCTCTCATCTCATTTTTTTTCTTGCAATGTATCTGTTATCATTTTATTAATTCTGCTAGAATTGACCTACTTAAAATTATCTGTTAGAATAAGGACCTGCCCGAAACGCTGCGCGTACTAGTGGCTTTACAAGATTGTAAATACTATGCTATGTATTCTCTCTAACCCAATGTACCTTCTTGTATATAAATAAATAAATAAATAAATATGGTGTAACTCAAGTGTTTCCGCGATTCGTTTTCTTCGTCTATAGGGGGAAACCCGTTCCCGTTCCAATCTGAATCTCTTCCTCTTGTTTCTTAGGGGTATAGGTTTGAGCATATTTCTAATGCTGCTGAACTTATTTTTCCAGGTACTGGATCAGGTTTGTATTTTCTAGCTGTTCTTCCCAGCTTATTTCTGTGCGGTCTTAGTTTATTTTCTAGCAGTTAATCTGCTAAAATAACACAGTGCTGCACTGATACTCTTTTTTCCTTAATTTTTAAGGAAAATATTAGCTTTTCACAAAATTTTAGTTGCAAGTTAAAATTTATTAATGCCTTATTTTAGTATTTTTCAAGATTCATATATATTACAATTGTTTTGGGAGAACTTTTCTGAAATGAGCATTATATTAATTTTAATGTAAATTTAAAAATTTTCAGATTACCTTTGGGGAGCTGCAAAATGGGACTCGTTCCTCAGATAACCAGTGATATTTTGAGGGGTAATGTGCCACATATACAACGGGATGAGGCCCCACCAGTTGTGAGGCGGCGTACTACGCCTGCTACCTGCTGCTGGTGTAAGGTAAGTCTTCGTCCATGCCCTGATCCCACCCCCCCCCCCCGACCTGCTGCTGGTGTAAGGTCCATGCCCTGATCCCCCCCCCCCCCGGCCGCATACCTCCTTACTTCCATGTCGCTCCAACTCTGATGCCGTTTGGCTTATTTTATTTGTTATTATATTCAAGTTGTACAATTCACATATTGTTTTACCTCTTGCATTAAATACTGCAAATTAGGTTAGTTCCCCGCAAAGGTTAACTACAGTTATTCATCAATTAACGGGTATACATTACCATTTCGTACAGTTAATTTAGTTATAATGCCACTTATAGTAAACCTAATAATTTAATTATCATCTGCTTCATTTATCTCACTGTAAGCCTTATAATTTACTTATTATCTATTTCCAATTATATTATTAAATTCAGCATTTACTTACATAACATATTTAGCCCAGCACGAGTATCATTCGCCTCCCAAAATTACAAGTACGTTTTAAATTGCATTACAGTTTAGTGACAAAATAAACTGTATACATATCACATGGTTTTACATAAATAAGTTTAAATTTATTTGGAAGGTTATGGACCCCAAATCAAGTTTACTCTTGAACTATGTTTTTTTTTGTTCATATTTATTTTATGTTTAGCTTTAAAACATAAAACATTGCTTCATACTGAAAGGTCACATCAGTTGTGGAAGTTTTGTTTGGCCTGTCTCCACCTGAGCCCCTCACAGGAGGATTGACTGTGTGCCTATCCTTAATTGTAGCCGCTGTTCAACCAGCTTTGAGTGGGTTCCTGGTTGTTAAACGATTTGATGGATCGCATTCTGGGTAAAATTTGGAGTAAGGAACTAGCTGCCCGAAATACTATGCATGCTAGTGGATTAACAAGAATGTAAGAACTCTTGTATATATATATATATATATATATATATATATATATATATATATATATATATATATATATATATATATATATATATATATATATATATATATATATATATATATATATATATATATATGTGAGAAAGCTACATGAACGCGCAAGCCATATATCACTAAGAACTCTTTGACCCGGCCAGGATTCGAACCCATGCCGTCCAGGATCACCCCTAAACGTTCACAGTACCGTGACCACCGCACCAATGATCATCTATAAGGATTGGTCAGTCTTGGCGCTTATTAACTAAGCTCCCTGACTGACCAACCCCCGACGACACTCATTTGGGTACAGTTTTTCATCAAATTCTGGCGCGTGCACGGGCCGCACTGAGTCTAACATGTGTGAGAAAGCTGCATGAACACGTGAGGAACACAAATGCGAACAAGCCTGAATGGTCCCCAGGACTATATGCGAATGAAAACTCACACCCCAGAAGTGACTCGAACCCATACTCAAATAGCTTCGGCTATCACTTCCTTATGTCCGGTCGTGATGGTCAAGCGGATTAAGGCGTCCTGTATATACCAGTTGCGTTGCTCCTGGGAGTATGGGTTCGAGTCACTTCTGGGGTGTGAGTTTTCATTCGCATATAGTCCTGGGGACCATTCAGGCTTGTTCGCATTTGTGTTCCTTACGTGTGCCCCAAAGAATGAGGTGATTTGATAAAATGTTATGCCCAAGATTACCATCCGGGTGCCGGCGGGGAAGTGGTTCAAATAGCTTCGGCTATCATTTCCTTATGTCCTGTCGTGATGGTCAAGCGGATTGAGGCGTCCTGTATATACCAGTTGCGTTGCTCTTGGGAGTATGGGTTCGAGTCACTTCTGGGGTGAGTTTTCATTTATATATATATATATATATATATATATATATATATATATATATATATATATATATATATATATATCCAGACATACATGCAAATGAAATTGTGTTCCCTCACGTGTGCTCCAAAGAATGAGGCACACGTTTTATATATATATATATATATATATATATATATATATATATATATATATATATATATATATATATATATATATATATATATATATATATATATATATATATATATATATATATATATATATATATGACAATGTCAGACCATGGAGGAAAAATGAAACAGGAATTTCCTTAAGTACTTTCGTATATTAAATACATCTTCAGAAGGTGTCACCTTCTGAAGATGTATTTAATATACGAAAGTACTTAAGGAAATTCCTGTTTCATTTTTCCTCCGTGGTCTGACATTGTCACATTCTTAATCACGTGTTTATTTTCGTGATATACACACATATATATATATATATATATATATATATATATATATATATATATATATAGATAGATAGATAGATAGATAGATAGATAGATAGATAGATAGATAGATAGATAGATAGATAGATAGATAGATAGAAAAATGAAAACTCACCCCAGAAGTGACTCGAACCCATACTCAAGAGCAACGCAACTGGTATATACAGGACGCCTTAATCCGCTTGACCATCACAACAGGAAATAAGGAAGTGATAGCCGAAGCTATTTGAACCACTTCCCCGCCTGCACCCGGATGGTAATCTTGGGCATAGCATTTTATCAAATCACCTCACCTCGTATATATATATATATGTATATATATATATATATATATATATATATATATATATATATATATATATATATATATATATATATATATATATATATATATATATATATATATATATATATATATATATATATATATATATATATATATATATATATATATATATATATATATATATATCAGACCCCCAGATATATGTCAGACCCCCCCTTCAGTGGGGTCTGACAACTTGGTAAAGGAAATCCTACCTGAGCACCTAGTTCAACAGGCAGGGGTGCATGATCCCAGCTTCACAGACTGCACAACCAAATGGGTCTCTCTCGCAGGACCAGCACCCCAACCACCGCCTTCTGAAGCCCATAAGCAATCCAGCTGGGATCGCCCCATTGCCGACCAAGAAGCTGCAACTTTGCTAGAAGCTGCGACAACACCACATGACACTGCCCGACTTAGAGCTGTAGCAGCTCCCCATGCAGGTGATTTCCTATTAGCAACCCCAATGTCAGCAACCGGCACCCGTCTCACACCGCAGGCCCTCCGAATTGCCGTGGCTCTCCGCCTCGCTGCCCCAATCCACACCGAATACAGGTGTATTTGCGGCGAGGCAGAGGCCGACAGATATGGACGGCATGGCCTTCTTTGCCAAAGGACGGGAGGATGGCATGCAAGACACGGTGAGGTTAATGACATTATTAAGAGAAGCCTTACCACAGCCGGTTGTCCAGCAGAGAGAGAGCCCCGTTACCTAATGTCCCGCAACTCTGATGAGCCTGTAGGTCGCCCAGACGGAATTACGGTGAACCCCTGGAAGAATGGTAGACAGTTGGTGTGGGACTACACTTGCGTTTCAACTTTAGCCAATACCTATGTTGACTTCAGTGCTACACAAGCAGGAGGAGCTGCCAATCACCGGGAAGCGGCCAAGTCACGTAAATACAGAGACCTTGAGCACCACTACAATTTTGTCCCCATTGCCTCAGAGACACTTGGTGCCTGGGGTAAAAGTGCTGCTAGCTTTTTGAAAGAGTTGGGGTCTAAGCTAATCGAAACAACTAGAGACCCTAGAGCTGCCAGTTTTCTTTTTCAGCGCCTTAGTGTGGCAATCCAGAGAGGAAATGCTCACTGCATCCACGGTTCCTGCCCGCCATCTGAGGAGCTGGAGGAGCTTTTCAACTTGTGACAAGCAGCCTTGTACTCTGCATGTAATCAATATTGTAACTTTTTTTGTGTAATGACATTTTCAAATAAAGTTAGATAAATATACACACTTAACAAAAGAATAGGGGTGGTAGGAGAAGAAAATATCAAAGTGTTCAGTGAGGATCCACAAGGTCTTCTCTGAGTACTCTTTATTTTCTTCTCCGAGGCTATGGGTCCCTACACTTGCACCAGAGGTGGTACCCCTTCTAGGTTTAAAAAAAAAAAAAAAAAAAAAAAATATATATATATATATATATATATATATATATATATATATATATATATATATATATATATATATAGTTTCATATACCAATACCTATGTTGACTATGACGTTAATATATATATATATATATATATATATATATATATATATATATATATATATATATATATATATATATATATATATATATATATATATATATATATATATATATATATATATATATATATATATATATATATATATATATATATAACGTGTGCCTCATTCTTTGGGGCACACGTGAGGGAACACAATTTCATTTGCATGTATGTCTGGAGACCATTCAGGCTTGTTCGCATTTGTGTTCCCTCCAAAATCAAAGATGCACTTGATTATTCCCAGGGTTTGATTAGCGTTTTTTTTTTTTACTGCCTCTCCCACTGGTTGTGCAACTTTTAGTGAATGATGGATTCTGACTTCAAGGTTCTTTTCTTCATCAATCTGCTGAAATGATAGATGTTGTTAATTTGGTAGTTGTGATGTAAATTGTCATGCCCCACATGCAAGGGCTTGCATTTTTCTATATTAAAAATCATTTGGCAGTTTTCTGATCATTCATGTAGATCTTTTTGCAGTGAAGATATCATTTTCACTTCCCACTTTACCATAACTCTTGGTGTATATAATTATTTTTGTATTATACTTTCAGATGTTCCGGAATAGAAAAAGAAACAAAAATGATGAGTTGTTTGAGAGTATTATCTCATATCTAGAAAGTGACATTAAACCGTAAGTAGGATGTGATGTGTTTTTATTTTATTTTTGTATTCTTAGTCATTATTTTCCTTTGCATTTGTTTTATTATGCTCTGAAATAGTTTTTGAAATATATTTTCCACCCCAGACATGGCCATTCATTTATAATCCTGGCCAGTATATAATCATTTCTTCTGTCCTCCATGTATTGTTAGCATTTTACTTTTTACAAATGTATTGTTTTAAAATTTTCTGAAAAAATATACATATCATTTATTTTTCAGCCTGAAACGGCATATCAGGGAAGGACAAATCGATAGAGCCAGAAGAGAGGTATTGAAAGAAAACTTTTAAAACAAAGGTAAGTTTTGATAGTGTAACTCTAATACACATCCGTCTGGCCTAGTCTGATTATCAGGGCTCTGAATTATGGCAAATTGGTTATTAGTAACATCATATGATATGTCCAACACTGCAGGGTGTTTACCGTATAATATATTACACATGAAAAGAGAGAGCGCGCTTAATTTAGCCCTAGCAGTTCTAGTTACAATAATACCAGATTTATTTTCTCTTTCTTTTAAAATATTTTTCTAATATTTAACCAAATATTTTGTATTAAAATCTTGCTGAACATAATATCCTAACATGGCTTTCTTGCAGTGTTCCCCAACAGGAACACTGCACCTAAGTCTACAGTGAGAACTGTCTGTTCCTTGTACTGGACTCTTACACCCTCGGCCTTTTGTCTCAAATTTATTTTATTACAAAATACTGTATTTATGGTATTAATGCAATCATACTGATCAATATTTATTTACATTGGCTTTGGTATGCATATTATTGTGCACAGTATTATAATTGTAAATTATTGTACGGTACAGTATTATAAGATCACTGCTTTTCCCAAAACAAAAAGCGGTGGGTTTTCTGAAACCCACCGAAAACGTATGTCGGGGGAGCTGAGTCTAACCGCCCAAGCTGCGCGCGCAACGAGCCGAGGCTATATAAGCTCTGCCTGCAGACGGGCTGGTCCCCTGTTCTCGCAAGCAAGCAGCTGCTCACTTACAAAAAGTGCGCCGCGCCTCAACAACACGTGGACCAGTACTCTATCCTGCATTTCCAGTCCGCTTTACGCACTAAACACTAAGGTAAAGTGTAGTTTTCTGTTCAAGTTTAGTCAGGACTGTCCCCAGTGCCGGCGTGTGCCCAGCGCCGTCCCTCGCGGTCCATACATACCGCCTTAGCTAGTTCCCTGGGCCTTCTGCCTTTTTGCCTGTCTGGGGTATGCAGGTGCGCCCTTCAGGCTGGGACTGGTGCTGCTGCCACAACACCCGGGTTGGACTTGTGTTCTGCGCCGTGCCTGTGTGGGCCGCACCAGGTAGCACTTCCTCCCAGACGTGCACTAGGGGCACAGGTCTGTTGTGTCCCCTAGGGGCCCTGATTCGTGCCGCGCCCGGCCGTGTGTGCTCGGCCAGGCTCCCTACAAGTGGCCTGGCGTCGCATGTTTCATTAACTTACAAAAAACTCTTGCTTATTGTATTGAGTTATTAAGTAAAGTAACCTAGGATGTGCTAGTTCCTGAGTTACAGGCCTCATGCCTCTGACTAAGATTATCTTGGCATTGCGTACCATTAATTTACCTCAATTTATTACTGCAATTTATGCAGGCTCAAGCTGCATGTTATTTACTCTTACCGGTTTTGCAATTGTGATTGTTTAACTATTGTTTGCCATTAAGTTATTATGGCTAGGTAAGTCAGCTAGGATGTGATAGTTGCAGGGTTCGGGCCCCTTGCCTCTTGCTTTAAGCTTATTCTGGCCCTGCATTTACGTTTAGTTTCCTCAGCAAATTTCCCGCAATTTTGCATCGCTCTTGCTGCATGTTTTTACTTTACTGGTTTACAATTATGTTTGTTTAACTTATGCTTCACCTTTAATATACTAGACGCTGTGTTACGGGCCTCATGCCTCTTCCTTTAAGTTTATCTTGGACTCGTATTATGATTAGTTCCTTCAGCAATTTATTGCTAGTTATGCATTGCCTAAGTGCATGTTATTTTACTTTCCGTTTTACCTTTATACTTGTTTTTCTTGACTTTGTCATTAAGTTATTAAGTACTGTCAGCTAGACAGTACCAGTTTCGTTTACCAGTACCAGCCTGGGGGAGGGCGGGAGTTGCCTGGGGGAGGGCGGGAGTAGCCTGGGGGAGGGCGGGAGTTGCCTGGGGGAGGGCGGGAGTAGCCTGGGGGAGGGCGGGAGTTGCCTGGGGGAGGGCGGGAGTTGCCTGGGGGAGGGAGGGAGTTGCCTGGGGGAGGGCGGGAGTAGCCTGGGGGAGGGCGGGAGTTGCCTGGGGGAGGGCGGGAGTAGCCTGGGGGAGGGCGGGAGTAGCCTGGGGGAGGGCGGGAGTAGCCTGGGGGAGGGCGGGAGTTGCCTGGGGGAGGGCGGGAGTAGCCTGGGGGAGGGCGGGAGTAGCCTGGGGGAGGGCGGGAGTTGCCTGGGGGAGGGCGGGAGTAGCCTGGGGGAGGGCGGGAGTTGCCTGGGGGAGGGCAGGAGTGTCCTGGGGGAGGGCGGGAGTAGCCTGGGGGAGGGCGGGAGTAGCCTGGGGGAGGGCGGGAGTTGCCTGGGGGAGGGCGGGAGTAGCCTGGGGGAGGGCGGGAGTTGCCTGGGGGAGGGCGGGAGTTGCCTGGGGGAGGGCGGGAGTAGCCTGGGGGAGGGCGGGAGTAGCCTGGGGGAGGGCGGGAGTTGCCTGGGGGAGGGAGGGAGTTGCCTGGGGGAGGGCGGGAGTAGCCTGGGGGAGGGCGGGAATTGCCTGGGGGAGGGCGGGAATTGCCTGGGGGAGGGCGAGAGTTGCCTGGGAGAGGGCGGGAGTTGCCTGGGAGAGGGCGTGAGTAGCCTGGGGGAGGGCGGGAGTTGCCTGGGGGAGGGCGGGAGTAGCCTGGGGAGGGCGGGAGTTGCCTGGGGGAGGGAGGGAGTTGCCTGGGGGAGGGCGGGAGTAGCCTGGGGGAGGGCGGGAGTAGCCTGGGGGAGGGCGGGAGTTGCCTGGGGGAGGGCGGGAGTAGCCTGGGGGAGGGCGGGAATCTTGATCATTTTTATTAGTAGCTTGACATTATTAGTAAAAACAAAATACATACGAACTCAAACCTTTGGAATAATCAAATGAACCTCTGAGTGTTTTAAGGAAAAGTTTTTGTTTTTTTTCAGCTATAAAAACTGGGGTACATGTGGACAACTGTTTCCAAGCATAGAGACCTCGGCTTCAAAACTTCAAATCGTAGGGAAGGTTGTAGAAAGGAAACCCAGCAGTGCCCTGGTAGTGATGATTGTTAAAGAGGTGAAAACAGTAGTTACTGAAGGTGGTTACAGTAATGTTGATAGTCCATGTGTAGTGTAGTTTGTGTGTTGCAAGTTGTGTATAGTGAAGATGGTTACAGTGATGATGGTTGCGAGTTCATTAAGATGTTTATAGTGGTAAAGATAGTGTAATGTTTGCATTCTGATTTACAAGAAATGATGAATATAGTGAGTTGTGAAGATGCACAGAGATGAAGATCGTTCGTAGTAAAGGTGCATTCATGCAGACAAGGAACGTGAATTCAGTATTACATTTTTTGAAACAAAGACAGAGGAGAGAGGGGGGGTAGAGGGGGGATGTTAGGGGGAACAGACAGATAGGGAGAAGAGAGAGGGGAATATAGCCCTAAGGACAGCTGGGTACCTCTCTAGTATCTGATATGAGAATGAGAAAAGCAGTGAGTGCAAGGACTGTGCCCTGGAGAACAGAGGTTTTCACCATGCTTGAACTTCATCTTTTTTGTCAGTGTTTGCATTCTGATTAACAGGAAATTGAATATCTGTCATCGTACTTTACCTATTATTGCGGGAGTATATAGATTATTTTTTATGGGCAATCATTCCATGATGACATTCATTGAATGCTTTTGTAAAGTTCGTTTATATCACATCTGATTTTTTTTTTATCTTTTAATGTTTCCATGATATTGTCATACTGGTTGAGTAATTGCAAATATTGACCTGGGTTGTGAGGTTAATTTTTTTCCATGAAATTATTGATTTGACTATTGATCACTCGTTCAAAAACTTTTTATGTTATGATGTTAGTGCAACTGGTCTCTAGTTTTTCAGCTAATGCTTTGCACCCTCCCTTATGTAATGGAGCTATATTTACAAATATATCTATTGCTGATGCTTCTGGTATCTTTCCTGTATAGCCAAGCTTTTTCCTCCAAACTACACCGATATTGAAACCTCCATGGCCACGACAGTAACCTATACACAGCAGTAAAACGGATGCATGGCCATGTGAAATCAAATAAAATTCCAAGTGAGAAATGGATAAACCATAAAAAGGTTATATTACAAAAGTGATTTTGTACAAAACATTTATTGCAGGTGTGTACAGAGACATAACCAACATTTCCTCAGGATGATATAAGAACAACATCTGTGTTTATCCTGCATACAAAATTAAATAAGTATTGCCATCCATGTTTACTATTACAAAATTAGTTACAATTTAATTAGTTTCTGTAATTGAAAGAATTGGGGAAACTCCATTAACTTAAGTAATTATCAAAAAAGGAGTTAAGCCTGGAAAGCTATTTATATTTAGTACCATGAATTGACTCATTATCAGTTAACACAAGTACTGTACCTGACAGTGGTCCCAGTGTTCCCAAAACTACACTGATCAATTTAACAGTAAAATACTAATTACAAGAAAACCTTGAACATTTAATATTATAATTGTTATTATTATTTAACTTTTATTAATAAGTGTTCTGCTACTAAATATCTTGCACATTAAGTGGACAACTCCTGTTTGTCCAATAATTAATTTAATAGTCAAATGCTGTGCAGCATTACCAAATGAAGAGATCCTGCACTTGAAACAATTATATTCCACAGCTGAGGAAATATTTGTCACCATAAAACGTGCTATGTTCACAAAATACTGGAATAAATAATATCATTCCACTGTTTCCACAGAACTCTCTTTATAAACACACACAAGTATGAACATTGTTACAAAAAATATTTGCATATTGTCTAGGTTAGTCTAGGAAACCTAATAAATAGAGTACACTGAGCAATGCAGTATTTACATGCCAGAACTATTGAACATACAACCAGTATACAAGATGATGATTTTTCAACTTATAATTTAATCAGCTTGTGGATAAAAAACATAATTACATAGATTAAAACCATGATTTGAGCGATATGTCCTAATTTCTATCATAATTTCTATGAACAACATATATGAAGGATACATTATAGAGAAAGTTTTATTAAAATATAAAACGGGAAATATTCGTCGAGGGCTAAATATTCAGTACTGTATTTTTCATTAAATAAGATACATCAATGGAGCATGATAACCTAGCATGTTGTTTTCAAGTTCTTGAGGGAGAGAGAGCAGAGAATTAATGACTAAATACAAACATCCTCATCTTGATACAGAGACAAATTTATATATTAAGCACAGTTCTCACATAACAAACTTGAAATTCAAAGTAATAACACATTCAATGTCATATTCTGGCAAAAATTAACGAATTAGTGACAGGATATTGACATTCCATCACAATAAACCTAAGTTGAGGACCCTAATATTTACAAAGTAACTATTTCATCCAAAGCATATAGCCGACCTATATGTTACTTTACTGTTACTTTTTTTAAGCTTTACAATATGTATTCTGAGATAGAAACCTTCTAATATTTATTAATGTACAGTTGTCACCTGATAATTATCATGCATCTGAAGATTTAAAAAATCCCAAGTACGGTACAATTAAAATTTTCAGTTTAATACCTGTAGTTTTTTAAATATAAATATTATTATTACTGAAAGCCCAGTGTTGAGACTGGTTCTTTCATTATTGCTTAAATGAGCAAAGACAATTACCTGTTAAGGCACTTTTATAATACAGTACAATATTGTGTTCATGTAAATACAGTATTAAATACTTATGGAAACATTACTTAAACATACCATCTTTCATAATGCTTTATGAAAGAATTGATGTTATGAAATTTCTAATGTATTATACCTTTTAAATTTCAGATATTTGTAATATAAAATTAATACTTCCAGAAATAATCAGGACAGTACACAATGGCAAGTTCGATTTAAATCTTGGAAATTAGTGGCAAAACTGCCATTATGAAACTACTGTACAGTGTTATTTTCAAAGTTTGACGAAGGAAAATGCACTGCAGATCAACAGATGCCTGCCTGCATGTATATCATAAAATGTTTGAATGAAGGTCATATAATAAGAGTATTTAGCTACACAGATCACACTGGACTCTGGAACTGTGAGACTTTGGGAGGGATGTTAGTTGGTCAAGTATTTGGACTACGATGAAAAGCGAGCCAGTCATAAGTTCGTAGTCATCTACAAGTAATTTGTCTCATTCTGCGACTCACAACCATAGAGCTTTATCCAGCTTTATGTTCCTTTGTTAAAAATGGTAACTGTCCAGTATCTTTACAAGCAACAGCCTAAGATTGACAATGACAGGCTTCTTGTTATGATAGAAGATGTTGAGAAGTTACTTGTGCCTCATGAAGATTACCAGCAACATACCTCAAGCTATGATAGCAGCTGCCTAGCAGCAATATGGCCTATTGGACACCAGTGAGTAAAAGCCCTGGCTGTATTGATAGTCAAGTTGTAGCTCCTGTAATCTATACAGGTGGAGCCCCTGACTATGATGGACATTGCCTGGGAGACACTTGCAGTTACGCGAATCGTTTTAGGATCCACAGTGACACAGCCATGGTAGTCCTCTAGTAATTATATGGGCCATACTGGGATCCATAATGGTAAGGTCCTGGGTAGCCATAGCCATACGAAGGGTACTGGTGTTTCTGTGAATAGACTGGAAAAAAAGAAAAGGAAACTAAATAAAAAAATACATATGCAGCATGAGTTCAAGTCATATTTTCCATGTAAAAGCTATTTCATTAATTAGCTACAAGTGAGCATTTTCATGCTGACTTAATAAATCAGATGATACGTTACAACAACGTGGCTGAAGATATGATGACCAAACCACACACTCCAGAAGTTGAAGAAATGACAACATTTTGATCCATTCTGGACTATAATCAAGTTATATGTGACTTTGAATGGTCCAGATACAAACCGAAATGTCATCGTTTCTTCATCATCTGGTGTGTGTGTGTGTGTGTGTAGTTTGGTCATCTTAATCAATCAATTTCATAAGCCTCTTAACTCAAAATATAAGTGATGACACTGTCTTTTGAGTGCAACCGAATTATCCTTTTAATCCAATGTACTGTACTGAGACATGGTCATGCAGTAAAACATTCAATAAGTTAGTGATATGTTTTCATGCAATCAAAATGTAACTAAACCTTGTGTGTGACCATTACAAGCTACCACAAATTATAACAAAAAAATTGCACAATATATACAGTTTTCTAGGGTGTAAACAAGAATGCTAGTAACACACTTGAGTGCAAATGGGAAAAAATAGAAGTGAATGCATCATGATTTACTGCACTAAAATAATTCTACCATTACAGCATGTGACACAATATACAAATATATGTTGTGTGATATATGCTGTGGCACTTGTCTGTACTCCTGTTAAAAGACAAGCATGGAAAAAAGTGTGGTCACTAACACTAAAACCTTTATCTGTAAATCTTTCTTAGGCTCATAATCCAATGGTCCCGGGTTCAATTCCTAGACAGGTTTCAACGTTTGGCCATGTTCCCCTACACTTGACAACAATGTTCAGCTAGCATTAAATAAATGCCTTCTAAATAAATACTTCTGGGTTGCATCCTGGCCTAGGATGACTTTCATAAACCTAACAGGCTTACTGTCCCTAAGAATGAGAGATCATTGTCACCACTTATCCATAATATTTTTAAATACATCCCAAAAATTTGGGTGTTAATTATTTTACATTTATGTCTCCCTTGCTATGGTTTTTCATTGTTGGGGACAAGAAGCTTGTTACTCCCTTTGAAGTCCTCCTACCCAATGACTAACTTGTCTTAAAATTCAACTCGGAACAGATGAGCAACTCCCAGGTACGTATTTATTGACAGGTGAACAGAGGTGTTGGGTGCAGGGAAACATCACAAAACATCTTCCCCCAGCCTTGCAATCAAACCCAGAACCTATTGGTTTTGAGGTGACACCACTAACCCCACTCTACTGGATTTCTCTTACATAGTATATCTCTGCTAAAGCTGTCCACATCATACTCCTTTTAATAAAATCAGGGGGGAACTTTGACAAGCTGCCAGCTTCCTGTCCTCGTCCCTCAGATAAATATGCCATTCTGGATGCACGCTATTATATTTTTATTACAAATTTAGATTTTTCTGTAGTGCTAACAGAGGTAAATGGTTTTAAATTTACAGCAATAAGCACAATTATTTTTGGCAAATACTTTGAGGAGATTACAGTGGGAATTCCATAAGGTAAGTCTGTCAGTTCCTTGGTTGGGGTTATGCATTTATTGCTGCTTTTATTCAAGGAAACCATTTTTAAACACATACACTATTTAAAGATTTCTCATACTGTACTGTATGTGATTTTACCAATTATGCAAGAGAGATCTCTTGATACAGAAATTACATGGCAAAGTAAGATAATTTATAAAACAGTAAAGGTTTTGAATATAGTGTATATGGAATATGGGGAATACAAGGACTATTAATGATTTTTACACTCCAGAGGTAAAAAAAAAAAATGCAGCTATTATTGCATTGCATTAGTTAGTATCCTGTAAATTATGATACTGTAAATGCAACCCTTGATGTTAGTGTAACAAAATGGCAAGATACATATTGAAATAGGAGGCAGCTGCCTGAAAAAGACAATGGTTAATCCAGTCAGTCAGTTACAAAGCCACACTAAAAGTGGCATTACCAGGCATTAGGTAGGCCATGTTCTTAGCATCGTCACGTTCCCTCTCGCTACGCAGACACACAGACGCGCCCGAGAACAGCAGGGCCGAAACGAGTGTCCAGCCAACACCAATCCAGGCGATGAAGTAGGACCAGTCGTACACGACGCCAGTGTTGTCACTCAGCAGCTGTAACACCACAACCATGAAGCGTTAACTACATAAGCCTGACCACACAGACCTGCACCATGGAGCAATAGAAATTCTGTGCTAGCTACCAGCCTTGAACTGCCAACGGTCAATCTTCCTGCTAAAACTGATGCAGCACTCTTCTAGGCTGGCAGCTGCTGTATGTACACTTCAGGACACCCAAAAAAAAAAAATCCTGCTGAGGAATTAGTACGAGCATCATGCACTGTTAAGGCATGCAAGTTAGTGTGGTGATGGTGGGTAGACATTTTGGTGTGCAAGGTGGTGGTCAAGGAGCACAGCCAATACCTGGCATGATGTACTGCATCTGCTTTGCCTGTTCACGCTGTTGTTCCCCTTGCATGCACTGCGATGCACCCAGGAACAGGCAGAAGGCCAGCAGCGCCATACCAGTGCCAACCCACGAGATCATGTAAGACCAGTCGTAGTGGATGGCAGTAGCATCCTGCAGGTTCTAATAGGGAAGGGAATGAGGAAATGGAAAAGTGGCACAGAGCACAAAAATAGAGGAAACTTGAAAAAAGAAGGAATGCACACGGTAATTAAAAACGTAATAAGAATAGAAATTTCAAGTACAGGTCAAGGCAGCAGCAGAAAAAAAAAGTGTATGAAGAGATGAAATAAAACAAAACTAAATGTATAATACTGAGAGGAACTCGATCACACAAAATTAACACTAAATCACTAATATTTAAAATTTAATTGGTATCAGATTTATTTTTAATTAAAGTTTCAATATACAGTACTATACTGTGTCAAACTTTTCTTTATATTGTACTGAACAATATGATAGACTTAATACAGAAGTTGTGGAGTTAACTGTACCACATTTGTGGTGGGCATTGGGTTTCCTCATCTTTATGCCAGATATACAAAACATAATGATGGATATTTGAGATGGAATTGTGCAATAGTTGTTGCACAGTCAAATGTTTCCCAGTAAATTGTTTGACTAAAAACATTATGTGAATGAAAATAAAATATGTGATATAAACAATTAAGGCATAACTACATGTGCCAAGTCTTAGTCCAGTAGATATGATGTATGGTTAAAATGCTACAAGATTGATTTTATTTGTATGAGTACTGTACTAAGGACTGCAAAATTGTAATGCATTACCTGAATGCATGTCCAATGTCTCTAAATGGAGAGGTTGCACGTCACCATGAGAGTCTGGTACACCATGCATTTGTTTTACAAGGTGAAAGTCAACCAGGATTTTATATATGACTGCTTTACTATGTCTCAGAAAATTTGTGTTATAGAAACCATCGTTGACTGTCCGATCTTACAAGACAATTCATCTGGTCCTTACAGTGAAATGTGCTGTGTCAGGAATGCTTGCACTCTACTGCCTAATACTCACCTCTGCAGAGTGATAAAGTGTGATATCTTTTACAGGATTGAGTCCCAAAACCCCAGTCATGCACTCTGGTAATACTGTACCTTTCGTCTTTGCAACCCATACCATCTGATCAGTGAGCATACATTATTTAATGAGTTTATCACACCTTTTATTCTCAATTAGTACATTACAGTATCAAGTCAGTACTGTATTGTAATAGGTAACATTTAGGTTAGCTGAGTAAACATTCTGTGTATGCTGATTGGAGCCGAGAAGAAATATTGGTGATGGTCTTGCAGAACGTGTTAAATGACATGAGCTATCATTGCAAAATGGGTCAAATAACTATGCAGTGGAATAAATGTATTTACTGCATGTATAAAATCTATTTTGGCATGAAGTAACTATAGAAAAGACAATGTTTGAAAAGAAGAGCACAAAATGGAGACACAAAAAGAATGACTACAGTATATTACTGTATTATATTAGCATTTATTAACCAAGGTTACTTAAAATGACAATTAAAGTATGCTGCAAAATGATGTTTAGATATCTAGACCTATGCTGAAGTGATAACAGATCTTAATGTGGGACTTCCAATCCCGAGATGCCAGACATCCACTCGGGTTAATACCTTTTATATTTGCAACCCATACCATCTTATCAGTGATCATAAAATGCTAAACAGAGGGAACTGAATTCTAAATAATAAAATTACAGCATAGCATTTTAGAAAAACCCAGCGTTAAATGTAATGAAATGCCATTTTCTAGGCGAGCCCTGGAGGCTCCCTGGAGTTATCGGACTGATATATGCCATATTAGTCTGGGGTATCAGTCAATTGGAGTTCAGCCTACTGGGAACCACGTGCCAGAACCTGACCCCCTCAAGAGGCAAAGGGAGCAATGGCTTATAGAAACTCATGTGGTTGGGGGCATTCCATGTCTGCCATCAACTAGGGTTAGGCACCCAGAAATGTAGGCATAACAAAACAAACCCCAGCTGGTAAGAAATTGCTACCTAAAACCGAACAGAGATTGAACTCCCCCAAAAGCATAAGGAAACAAGCAAACATCAGTCATCACCGCCGTGCTGCTTGTCTGCGCAGCTTTCCCCTTCCCAAGAGGGAGGAGAGGGAAGCCCCAGACCCCCTCCCCCTCATGTCTGCTACTCACACCTCCAGTTCAGAGGCTGAATATCAAAAGCAAACCAGAACCGCTGACTGGAGGGAGGAAGGGAGGGTTGCCAGGGAGCCCCTGGGGCTCGCCCAGAAAATGGTGTTTCATTACATTCAACGCTGGTTTTCTGTGGGGAGCCATTCGGCTCCCTGGAGCTACCTAACCAAATACAAGTAAAAGAGGGACTTAACCGGGAGGCAGCCACCACGCACACATCAACTCGAAGGCAAGATGACTGGCTGCAACCTGCAACCCAAAGCCACACACGAATGACCAGGAACGTTTACTAGATAACGGGCGGCCAGGACTCTGTTCGACCTCCAAAATCCCCGAGCCCAAATATCAGCCCAAGACATGTTGCCAAAGACAGCAGCCAAAGCAGCAAACTTACGAACGACATGGGCATAAGGCTGGCTGAATAGACTTAATAACCTTGTAGACAACCTGAGAGATCCGAGCCCTGAAACAGGGAACAAGGGAAACCGGATCAATTCAAAGCACGTCCCCAGCCACAGATGCAGAGGTGCGCAAGTAACGGCGAAGAGCCCGCAACCGAACACAACACATGATGCACCCCCGGCCTCGACCACTAGCCAGTTAAGCCACCTATCAAGGGGAAGAGCTGGACCCTTGGGACGTGTACAATCATGGGACGGGGGCCAAGCGGAGGGCCACCAATATACCTTAAGTGGACAATTAGCCAACAAGGCAGACCCCCACCAGGCAAGAAAAAAAAAAGAAAAAGAAAAAAAAAAGTAAAACCCTGCAAAAGTACACCACCACCAGAAGGAACAGTAACATGGTCACCACATAGCTAAGCGAGCAGCTTAACACCTTCCGTCCCAACCAGCAAACACCACCACTTCCTACCCAAGGCCAAACAAAGGCCAAAAAGGCCAAATGAAAACCCCAGTTGGCCCCAAGGGCTGGGTAAATGCCGAGCAGCAAGAACCTCTATTGAACTGGATCCCAAAGGTTCTATGGAAGGGAACCCTAGAACCCAGGGGTAGTACTTATGGAGCACCTAGGAAAGGGAACCCTAAGTGCATGCAGCCCCCAATACATTTGCGGTACTCTTGACCACCACACCACAATTGGCAGGAAGATGATGATGACTGCCCCAGAGTGCATCAGCCAACAAACTGGAGGTGTGGGTAGCCAGCACGAGGGGTCCAGGGCTCCCCCCTCTACTTTTCGGGAAGGGGAAGGCTCCATGAACAAGCAGCAGCGATGACTGACGTTTCCTTGTTTCCTTATGTTTTGGGGGGGAAGTTCTGTCTCTGTTCGGTTTTCGGTAGCAATTTTTTACCAAGTGGGGTTTGTTTTGTCATGCCTACCTTTCTGGGTGCCTAACCCCGATCGATGGTAGACATGGAATGCCCCCAACCACATAGGGGTTTCTATAAACCATTGCTCTCGTTGCCTCTCTGAGGGGGCCAGGTTCTGGCTCGTGGTCCCCAGTAAGCTGAACTCCAGTTGACTGATGCTCCAGACTAATATAGCATATATCAGTCCAATAGCTCCAGGGAACCGAAGGGGCGTCCCACAGAAAAAAAAATATTCTTTAAGGGTGAATAGTTGGACAGGTTTCAAATTTTAAATGGTGTGCCATGCACAGCCAACCCAAGATCTGCAGGTGTATATACAAGAAAACTGTGCAGTGATTTTTGCAAAGAACAAAGTTTACTCTATGTGGGAAAAATAGGGTTATGTGCAAGGCTTCAAAAATTCACTTTATTAGACCTCTTAAAGAGGAATACTGATCTAAATAGTATTTCAACACAGTATCTTACATAACGAAGTGCAGAATGTGCCATGATACAAAATTATAATAAAAAATGGAATCTTTACAGCCAACTCACATAGGCTACAGTACATGCAAATCTACTTGGACACAATTCAGGTTTTAAGGTTAAAAACAAAATCATACTGGCCTAAAAAGCAATTATCTAAATTTGGGAGAATGAAGAGTCCTTCCCCCCTGCCTCCCCTTCCCATACTGAATGTTTCCAACATTTTAAGGACTATTATAGAATTGTTGCTCAGAATAAATCAATTGCAAGAGTCTTCTTTCCCTGTTGTTTAATGCAGGCCAATTCCCCTACCTGTGTGTTGATGGGTCAGTGCAAAATTAATTCTAATCTATGAAAGTGTGTAAGGCTCTTAGCTTCAGATAATAAATAAAGAAATGTGGATACAAAATGACTGCCAAGTACAAGATTAGTACTGTATTTCTATACAGTAGAGAGAAGGACAATATAGCTGACTCACATGGATGTAGTTGGAGGAAGTTGTATTTGTCCAAAGACATAATACTGTATTGCAAAAGTGATAAAATTGATTAAAGCTATTCAAGGTGACACCTGTCCATTCCCACTACTTTTCACTCCTAACAGAATCAGAAAATTTCTATGCAATACACTAAACAATTCATTCATATAATTTCCTTGGCTAATGTACAGTGATACTCGTGATTTGTCACTGACAAGAATATAAATCTGTCCTCCCTGAACCTTGCTCACCACCACCACTTCTTATACCTGTGGGTTCTTCTCAACCCACAGGCATGTATAAATGTTGCTCAACTCTATTCACAATTTCTTGCACTCGTCCACCTTGTCTACTTATCATGGCCTTTGACTTACCTTCTTGCCCTTAAGTACACTGATACCCTTCATCACCCCAGCCAATACCCATTTATTTCACATGACCATATCTTATCACACACTTCTTAATATTACAGTTTCTTGAGTTCTACTCCCACACCTTCCAGACATTATCATTCACTACCAATCTACCAATCTTTCATCTTAATGCCACTGATGTTCCTCAGATTATCTCTAACTTTTCAATTTATTTTATATTACATTTTTCTATACTACATCTGTATATATTTTTCTTCAGTTTGTACTTGTGAAACTCATGTGTACAAAGGAGATGAGCATTCATGAGACATAATGTTACCTTATCCCATGAAGCCTTCCAGGGCTCAGTCTTGAGCTTCTCCTCCTCGTAGTACTCCACACCGTGCCATAGTCCCATGCCTCCAGCTGAGAAGAGACCTGCAACACAAGAATAACTTCAGCTCACACATACGGTACAAAAGCCTCAGTAACCCAATAAAGATTTATGGACTATATCTCTTTCAGCATTTTAACAGCTGCATGTTTTATACACTAACTGTACTTGGAGTTTGTTAATTTAATGTGATGGATAAGTTTCTGTCATTAAATCTGTTATCAGAATAATGATTCAGTTCATTATTTTTGTTTCCTGTCATTAAATTTTTAAATCAATTACCTGACTTGTCTTATTTTTATAGTATTATTTAAAACTTATTGCCTTGACAAATTCTGTGCAGTACTGTACATGAATGTTTGAAATAAGTACAGTACAGTAATGAGAATATCTTCCCACCAGACATAATAACATAGGATAAAAACCCACACTTGTGTATTTGTAAATTTGATGTAAAGACTTACACCAAGTCTTTCGCACTCTCCTGAGTGCTTTGTCAAGGTCTGAGTGTGTGATTAGGACGAGATTTGCAATACAATGACTGACATTGGCCCCATTAGTCATGGGGCCAGACGGCTGAGTGGACAGTACTCGGGGTTCGTAGTCCTAAGGTTTCGGATTCGATCCCCGGCAGAGGCGGAAACAAATGGGTAGAGTTTCTTTCACCCTGATGTCCCTGTTCACCTATTAGTAAATAGGTACCTGGGAGTTAAGACAGCTGCTATGGGCTGCTTCCTGGGGATGTGTGTGTGAAAATTAGGATTAAGGATTCACCCAAAATGCTATGTGTGATAGTGGCTGTGCAAGAATGTAAGAACTCTTGTATGTACTGTATATATAAATAAAAACAAAAAACAATGCAAGTCTCATCCTAACTACATACTCAGACCTTGACAAAGCACTCAAAAGAGTCTAAAAGACATCTTCTTGAGGTTATCTTGAGATGATTTCGAGGCTTTAGTGTCCCTGCGGCCCGGTCCTCGACCAGGCCTCCACCCCCAGGAAGCAGCCCGTGACAGCTGACTAACACCCAGGTACCTATTTTACTGCTAGGTAACAGGGGCATAGGGTGAAAGAAACTCTGCCCATTGTTTCTCACCGGCGCCCGGGATCGAACCCAGGACCACAGGATCACAAGTCCAGTGTGCTGTCCGCTCAGCCGACCGGCTCCTCACGGTTGTAAATGTCTCCCGACATGGTGTAAATCTCTATGCAAAATTCACAAATACGTAAATGTGCATTTTTTCCAATGTTTGAAATCTTAATATCTTCAAAACAGAAAGTAAACTCAATTCAGTAATGCACTTTACCATACTTGTCAGCTGTTCATGATATACAGTGATTTTCTCTGCCACAACCCACAGGATGAGTATGGGATGCAATATAGACTGTTACCCACATGATGAGTATGGGGTGCACAATAGACTATTACCCACAGGATGAGTATGGGATGCAATATAGACTGTTACCCACATGATGAGTATGGGGTGCACAATAGACTATTACCCACAGGATGAGTATAGGGTGCAATATACACTATTACCCACAGGCGAGTATGGGGTGCACAATAAACTATTACTCGCAGAATGAGTATGGGATGAAAAAACTATTACCCACAGAATGAGTATGGGGTTCACAATGAAACTATTGCCCACAGGATGAGTAATGGGGTACACAAACTATTACCCACAGGATGAATATAGGGTGCACAGTAAACTACTACCCACAAGATGAATATAGGGTGCACAGTAAACTACTACCCACAAGATGAATATAGGGTGCACAGTAAACTACTACCCACAAGATGAATATAGGGTGCACAGTAAACTACTACCCACAAGATGAATATAGGGTGCACAGTAAACTATTACCCACATGATGAATATAGGGTGCACAGTAAACTACTCCCCACACGATGAATATAGGGTGCACAGTAAACTACTCCCCACACGATGAGTATAGGGTGCACAGTAAACTACTCCCCACACGATGAATATAGGGTGCACAGTAAACTACTCCCCACACGATGAGTATAGGGTGCACAGTAAACTACTCCCCACAAGATGAATATTGGGTTCACAGTAAACTACTCCCCACAGGATGAATATAGGGTGCACAGTAAACTACTCCCCCACAGGATGAATATTGGGTTCACAGTAAACTACTCCCCACAGGATGAATATAGGGTGCACAGTAAACTACTCCCCACAGGATGAATATTGGGTGCACAGTAAACTACCTCCATAATTTTAATGAACCAAGTATATCTAGCTGTGTGCACAGAGTAGGAGGAGAAGCAGCACAGTGTAAGGTTGGCATATACTGACAGGCCAGCAGCATGAGGATAGCGGTGGAAGCAATATTCCCCGGAGACCGTCGCCAGCAGCCGGCCACGCCCGTCCAGAAGGCCACGAAGACGAAGAAAAAGGAGACGATGAAGAGGGCGATCATCGAACGAGCCATGTCTGGAAGGAAGAAAAACCATACAAATACAATAGGAAATGTAGATGTTTATCTCTCAGAATGTTTGGAAATATGTTTATTGCTTGTGATGTGTGTATATGTATGTATTAACACGATGTACTGAACGGGGTGAGAATAGCTTGAGCTACCTCATCCCTTTGTGTGTATTTTACCTCAATAAACTTATTTTAATTTCAATTCAATTTCAATACAAATACAAAGTACAAATACAAATGTTTATTCAGGTAAAGTACATACATACAAGGTGAGATACAAAAAGTTGATGGAGTTATAAATAGAGCTAGTACATACAATGCCTAAAGCCACTATTACGCAAAGCGTTTCGGGCAGGAAAAACACTTAACACTAAATTTTAATACTAAATGAGATTAAAGTATAAATTATATTGCTAAAAACCTTGAGCTACACAACGGTAAATCTTATAATGTGCTCCGTTCAGTGATAAATATGACACGCCTAATTTTTTTTTTTACTTGTGTGGTAAATTTATATTATTTCAGCTAGAATGTTGAACCTGTTACATTCCAAGATAGTCATTCTAAATGCCTATCTACATTGCACTCTCGATTAATGTCATTATCACGGCCCATCCTCCTGTTTTGGTAGTATATACTTACAGTAACGATGAAGACCATAGTATATATACCGACGAACAACGAAATTAAATCGTTGAAATCGGCACTATTGAATTGGATAAACTGGAAATCTATTTATTATTTGTGTTGCTTTGATAAACTAAACTAATCTAATCTTCCTAGGCTTAATACACGATATCTGAGGCCTAATATAGTACATGTATGTGCTATACTTTGTCTAGAAATATTTAAGTTTTTTTTTGCTTCATTTTTTTTCAAGAATTCCTTACTAGTCAGCATACTACTGTCTAAAAAGTAAGTACATACTAATTCGTGACTATTGACGATCGTCACAATAGGTAATATCTAAACACGAGGTTGCATTATTTACAAAAAATAAACAGTCCCTGCAATTCCATCCATAGGTTTATATGGGTGCTTCTTCACCCATAGGGTTATAAACCCACGGAACCGCCTACCCGCCAAAGCCGTAAACGCCAAAACTCTCTTGAGATTTAAAATACAACCCGAAAATGTCATCAGGGCAAATGGGGGGGGGGACCTTTAATACTAGTGATCTCGACGAGGACAGGAAGCCGGCGGCTTGTTGAAGGTCCCCCCCCCCCCAAAAAAAAAAAAAAAATTACCTTATTTTTTAAAATACGGAATTTACCTGAGGGGGGTGTCCCTCCCCCCTCTCAGGTAAATTCAGGGCGGACGTATACAATATATTTGAACTTATTACTCACAGACCACGCAACAAAATCGTCTAATCCTGGGATTGTAAACGCGATCATCATGACGATAATTGGAGTAAACTCCTAAAGCCGAGGCGTTTATAAGAAAGCCGACGGTAGGAAAAGTTGACGAGCGCTTGTGAGAAAGTGCATAGAATAGTCTTCCAGGCTTAGTGTTTTCTTTTGATTAATTATTTTCAGCCTTATGAGGAAGGTTGCCGTCGCTAGGCTGCTAGGGGTTGTGAGGAAGGCCTACCTTTCCCGTGTAAGGTAAGCCACTAATAAGGCATGTGTCACCCTCCACCACACACCTGTCCTCTCACTTTATGCACCTAGGAGCCGGTAGCTGAACGGACAGAACACTGGACGCGTCATCCTGTGGTCCCGGGTTCGATCCCGGGCGCCGGCGAGAAACGATTGGCAGAGTTTCTTTCACTCTGATGCCCCGTTACCTAGCAGTAAATAGGTACCTGGGTGTTAGTCAGCTGTCACGGGCTGCTTCCTGGGGGGTGGAGGCCTGGTCGAGGACCGGGCCGCAGGGACACAAAGCGCGAAATCATCTCAAGATAACCATATGTCCTTTAAGCAATCGACTCCACGATGTAAAAATTGTGACCGTTTAGTGAAATCACCAGCATCGCAATGCTGACGCTACCTCATACTAATGAACGCACGCATCTTAATACGCGCGCATGTTAAGCTGTTCACCCAAGTTTTTACGCTTCCTGCTTACCTTTGACGTTTGTCAAGTGTGAGAACGGGCTGCAGGGGTTATACGCGCAAGGAAGATGATACGATACATTCATTCTTCATATCTCTACAGCAAAAAGAGGTATGGTATAACTAGGTGTTCTCAGGGAAGGGACATGGTAACACTGTAGGTGTTCTCAGGGGAGGGACATGGTAATACTGACCAACACCTCAGGAATGCGTCCAAAAACAGACGATGCCAAGTCGTCACTTTCTCCCCAAATTCCATAAATATTGAAATCCATAGTCAAAGTTCTCCTGCAGCTGTTCACTTCGCCTGCCAGCGTCGGACCTGAGACCTGAGTAGCGCCAGTCACCATCGTGCTGAAATAGACGTGTTGAGAGTTCCAGGACGTCATTGATGACGAAAGTCGGCGGCGGCGCGGGTCTGATGAGCGTAGGTGAATAGGGTAGAAGGGGGGAAGGAGGGGGTGAAGGGAGGCGGAAGTAGTGGACCCTACACTAAGCTAACCTCAGCTCAATTCCCCCATTTGACAATTGCGTCTAAATTCCACCCCCCCCCCCTCTCCCATCCCCACCAAGATGCCATCCACTTGGGCTGGACGGTATACAGCAACGGTCTCGTTTCATGCAGGTCGACCATTTGGTCACCATTTGGTCACCATTTGGTCACCATTTGGTCCGGGAGACATCTCCCGTCACGCAGGGTGCAGTTGCGCCTCCACAGATCTCCAGTATCATCTTTTGATACTGGTAAATGGTGGCCCTCAAAAGGGCCACCATTTACGGGCTATTCATGCCCCCACCTCTTGGGTGGCTTAATCTTCATCAATCAATCATGCAGGTCAGCGTTCAATCCCGACCGTCCATAAGTGGTTGGGCACCATTCCATCCCCCCCCCCCGTCCCATCCCTAATCCTTATCCTGACCCCTTTCAAAGTGCTATATAGCCTTAAGGGCTTGGCGCTTTCCCCTTACAGTTTCCTTCCCTCTCCCCCCCCCCCCCGATGCCTAACCACAGGGGTTACCCCTCACCTGTTGATTGACGGTTGAGAGGCGGGTCCAAAGAGCCAGAGCTTAACCCCCGCAAGCACAATTAGGTGAGTACAATTAGGTTAGGTGAGTACATGATACAAGTCATATCGTGCACAAGACGATTCGCCAACGGATTTTTGAACCTTACATAACCTAACTTAATCCAAACTAACCAAGCCGAGCTAAATACAGCCTCATCTAAGCTAATACATCCTAGCCTAACAATATGTATACGGTTTAATTAACAGAAAACGAGCTTCGTCGAATCGTCTCGTGTACGGAATGACCATACCCCCTAATCACCCCCCTCCCCCCGTCTTCCTTAATAGCACGTCGCATTTTGACGTATACTCTACGGGCAAAAATTGTCGTACCTGAAAATGTATGCGACACACGAAAGCGACGACATACTGTCCCGTTTTCTGTTTTGGGTCCTCTGGTAGGTTAGGCGCATCGCCATGTGTGACCTCTAGTGATATACACTTTTGCTTCGGAGTTCATAAACTGTTTAATGCCAACAAAACCCGCCAAAGATTGAGAAAGTGAATCGAGGTTAGGGAAAACAGCTGCACATTTAGGCTTTTGATTGGGCTAAAAGGTTGACATTTTACGAAGTGGCAAATCAAGAGAAATGGCCAGGTTGTGGCCGCGTGGTCACTCGGCCAGGTTGTGGCCGCGTGGTCACTCGGCCAGGTTGTGGCCGCGTGGTCACTCGGCCAGGTTGTGGCCGCGTGGTCACTCGGCCAGGTTGTGGCCGCGTGGTCACTCGGCCAGGTTGTGGCCGCGTGGTCACTCGGCCAGGTTGTGGCCGCGTGGTCACTCGGCCAGGTTGTGGCCGCGTGGTCACTCGGCCAGGTTGTGGCCGCGTGGTCACTCGGCCAGGTTGTGGCCGCGTGGTCACTCGGCCAGGTTGTGGCCGCGTGGTCACTCGGCCAGGTTGTGGCCGCGTGGTCACTCGGCCAGGTTGTGGCCGCGTGGTCACTCGGCCAGGTTGTGGCCGCGTGGTCACTCGGCCAGGTTGTGGCCGCGTGGTCACTCGGCCAGGTTGTGGCCGCGTGGTCACTCGGCCAGGCGTGGTCACTCGGCCAGGTTGTGGCCGCGTGGTCACTCGGCCAGGTTGTGGCCGCGTGGTCACTCGGCCAGGTTGTGGCCGCGTGGTCACTCGGCCAGGTTGTGGCCGCGTGGTCACTCGGCCAGGTTGTGGCCGCGTGGTCACTCGGCCAGGTTGTGGCCGCGTGGTCACTCGGCCAGGTTGTGGCCGCGTGGTCACTCGGCCAGGTTGTGGCCGCGTGGTCACTCGGCCAGTTACTGGCCGTAGCCTAAACCAAGCCACGCATAAAGCACTCAGAAAATGTGAACAAGAATGTGTAGTGAATATGGTGGCAGTTCCTGAACCTATTATGTGCCTCTGTAATCCTTTACACCACCGCCCACGGGATGGGTATGGGGTGCATAATAAAGAAAGAAGAAAGGGTGGAATTTAAAAGAAAATTACGAATTTATAGATAACTATCACAAATATTCCAGTAATGTGTTTCATTCAGAGGAATGTACTAACCAGATATCTCCAAGTTTGCCTCCTGTTTTCCTTCATGCACGCCGCCCACTGGATGGGTGTAGGGTGTAGGTAGGATGTAGGAAGGATGGGTGTAGGATGTAGGAAGGATGGGTGTAGGATGTAGGAAGGATGGGTGTAGGATGTAGGAAGGATGGGATGTGCCAGGTAGACCCCACCACCCCAACAATAGACCCCAACAATACCACCACCACAACCTTCCCAAATAAGAATTAGCCACATTTCCAGCACAATATAACCCCCCCTCTTCCCCCCGTCTCCAATTCTCTCGCGTCTAAACCTGATGTTTTCACTCGCCAACCACCATCACCAACGGCACAACAATGGCACTGTGCCACGTAAAAAGC